GCTTTAAATTATTGCGTCTTATCTGCCGCGGAATTTTAGGAAATAATTTTTTTATTTTCATATCCTTTATCAGTATATCTCCTACTTTATATTAATAGGCGTGGTTTTGCTGCTCCCTCTCGTCGATAAGTTCCACGTACTCAAACTGGACGATCAAATTCTTGATTTAAATGGAGTGTCTGTAAGTTAATTTAGAAATTTATATTACCCCATTGATAATAAGAAACCACCTAACTCATCACATATTTACTTGATTAAACCTGACTTTTTACCGCTTTACATTATGAAGCCCAATATTTTTATGCTAAGGCGTTCTATTATGGATATATTGCTCTTATCTATGCATTAACCTTTTGCAATCATAGGATCTTTATACGATCACAGATTTTTGAGTGGCATGAGTCACTATACTATAAAGTCTCTTACAACCTTGATCTTATATAACCATACTTTATGCTCTGCGATCTCTTCCACCTCCCTTTCCTTATCATTATGCCCTTATTTGGATTAAACGTATTTTATCAATCTCTGTTGGTCCAGGGCGGCACACAAGATGAGGCGATTGTGGAGATCAACTTTCGCATCACCTTCCGAGTCATAGATCCGGAGCTAGCTATCGGTCGTAGCATCAAGGGTCCCGATTGTCTGTTGCGCCTAGACGCACAGACCTGTCTACTCACAGCCCTCACTCGTCTACGTTGGGCTCATCTGGAGACGGGTGCTGCCAATCTCGACCTTGCTGAGGATACTAGGGTACACTTATGCACATTGAGCATCTTGTTTTGGCAACAATCACGCTCTTAATTTTAGAAATTATTATTATTATGCCTGATTATATTTCTTTGTTGTTAATCAAAAGCGTTTGCATTCTTTGCTTATTTGGTTCATATTTAGCTATATTGGTTACTCACTTACAGTGAGTACACGCTGTAAAATTGCTCTGTGATATATTTTTATGGAGTTATGTTAGGTTAAACTTTTTTAATATTGTAGTGATTGCGAGCTTGCTTACGATGAATAGGATTCGTTTTTTATATTTAATTTCGAAACAAAAATTCTTGCTTCATAACTTAATAGTTTTTCGAGTATACTGTTACCCATTATTTAAAAAAAATATTTTTATCCAGAGGTTTACTTTATTTTAAAATTCATGCTTTTTTGTCTATTGCAATGAGGTTCATTTCGTGTAGCTTATTCAGTAAATTGTTTGTTTATTACTTTGAATAGTCATTGCTCCAATATTTTCAAATTTACGAGTGAGATCGAGTCGAAATATACTCTAGATGAGGACGGACGGCAAAGGGTAATTCGATACAAAGTCAAGCAAACCCTTACCTTTATCTTG